TTTAGTCACACCTCGCCCCGTAGCTAGCTCAGTAGTTTTCTGATATCCTACGTACAAGGCCTATAGGTGTCATTGGTATTCCCAGGTCTCTGAGTCCCCACGCACTCCCATATGCCTCTGAGTGGATTCATACCGCATTCGGACCCATTGTCTTGCCTGCGCCGTTACACTAAGCTTTGGAACATAATATCTCCAGATCCTGAGCTGCGTCCCAGGCTCTGAGCCCCAGCCAAGGCTCTCAGTATACGCGACACACCCCCCAGGTGAGCTGCTGCGCAGCTCACCTGCGTTAAGCGTTAACTTAGCTTGTTAGAGCAGCGCTGCGCGTTTACCCTGTGTTTGTGCTTATTGCCCTAGGCAGCGCAATGCTTGTTTCCCTAGGCAGCGTAATGCTTGTTTCCCTAGGCAGCGCAGGTCACGTGCGTGCTGTAATTGCTGCAATAGAGGTAAATAAATTCTCCTACTTTTTAAGCTTTTCTTCTGTAAGTCTAACTAACATGCTGTGTGTAAGTTAATGCTTTTAAAAGCTCTAAAAACAACTTTAAACCTATCTGTAATCTCTACTAACGTGCATCTGTAGCTTAATAAAGCTAAAAGAGCTGCCTGCTCGCGTGCTGCTGCTCTGCAGGGCCGCGTTGCCTGCAAGCCTGCGCCCACCCCCCGCCAGCCCGCGCCTCCCACCCCCCGCCGGCCTGCGCGTACCCGCAAGCCCGCGCCCACCACCCCCTGTCAGCGCCCGCTCCCCGCTCCGGCCTCGACTCCCCGCCGGCCTCCCCCTGGTGCGCTCCGCGCGCAGTCCTGTCTAGGCTGCATAAAGAGTGCGCTTGCAGGGCGCTCTAGTAGGGAGTGCTATAATTCTGCCACTAGCAGTTTACGCTGTTAGCGCTGTTCCTCTAGACACAGCTACCTGCCCCTATAAGCCCTATAGTAGTGTGTGGGGTGATCTAGTTTTAACCTATTTACAGTCCCCCTGTTGCTGTTGTGTATGCGCGGCGCCTTGTTGCAGCGCTTGTTGTAGAGGATAAGCAGGTAAGCTTTTTTATAGAGATTATGCGTTATACCTTAGATTAGACTAACAGGCTATAGGCTATGTTCTAGCTTTAGCTAGTTCTTTAAGCTCTGCTTAAAAAAGATGTAGAGAAGAAAAAGAAAGAAAAGAAGAAAAAAAAAAGAAGAAAAAGAAAAAGGAAGAGGAAAAGAAGGTAGAGAAGGTAGAGAAGAAGGAAGAGAAGAAGAAGAAGGAGTAGGGTGTTGTCTCCCCTAGGCTCCTAGCGCGTTGCTAGTGCGCTAAGGAACTCTTAGGTAAGCTTGTTAATCTCTTTATAGTTTAGGCGTTCTATGTTTTTGCGCATCTTATTGTTACAATCCCTACTCCGGGAAGTGATGTTTTCCGGAGTACAACGGCCTATTTGGTGTTAATGAGAGAGGGTAAGAACTTAGCTGGATCAGGTGTACAGTCTGTTAAGCAGAGTGAGGGATGGTTGGGGTTTAGAAGGCAGGCTGTGGTTTGTCCCTAAAGCTGTATGGGTAGCTGGGCTTGTACTAGTTAGGTAGACAAGGGTTAGAGGTATATATGTTGTAAGATATACAAAGCAGCTTAATCCTCTTTAGAAAGGATTTAAGCTTCTTAGTCTATTATAAAGAATAAACTAAATGTTAATTACAACCTTCTAACTATAGTTAGGATTAAGACTATATACATGGGGTTTGCATGCGTTGCATGCGTTGCATGCGCTACCTGCGTCTGCCTGCAACGCCTGCATTGCCTGCAATGTTCTGGTCCCTATTAGACAGTACATTCTGCTAAGCATCTGTCTATAAGATAACACTATTCCTCTTCTGTTTAGTTATAAGGTCTGCTAATTACAGGGTTAACTGTCTTCTATTTATTGTGCTTAGGGCTGTGTGTAATAGCAAGCTAAGTCCTTACAGCCTGTTTGTTAGTTATAACACGCAGGCTTCCCTCTTAGTTAGCGTCCTTGCTGTTATGTTTTTCCTGTTGTAAGTGTTAGGTCTTTTTTTTAGCTAGTGCGTGTTCTTCTGTGAACGCCTAATGTATGCTTATTCTTTTTAACTATGCCTTGTTAGGTTTCTTGTGTTTCTGCTGTTAATTATTGCCTTTGTACTATTACTTGTCTTAATCCCTACTGTTGTATAAAGATGCGTCCCTGTAGTCCTTACTGTTTGCATAGTACGCCTTACGTAATGTCCTTATTATTAGACAAGTGTGTGGAGTGTGTGTAGAAGGGTAGTTGTTGTAATGCTTTTGTTTCTAACGCAGCCTAGGACTGTTTAGAGCGTGAGGAGAGGAAGTTGCGTAGGGAGCTAGAAGCGGCAGCAGAGAAAGAGATAAATAAGAAGGAGAGAGAGATGTAAAAGCAGGCTAAATCCCTAAAGCGTCTTTAGTCTTTTATAGCTTAGCAGGAACAAGTTTAGAAACAACTAAAGGTGTTAAAGAATTAAAGGGCAAAGTATTTAAAAGAAGACTTTTTATTGCTAGATAAGCTTAAAGCGCTTAAGGTAGAGGCAGTAGGCCTTTCTCTTCCTTAGCCTATCTTAAAGAGTTAAGGGCTTCCTACATTGCAGCTAACTAATGTAGCAGTAGTTTTAGTTAATAAGGATATTTTCTAGTCTAGGGAACTTTTGCCTAGTTAGTTTAATCTTAAAGGTGTAAGTAATACTTCTATAGCGCCCTTTAGGCGTTCTATAGGTTTATAGCAGGTTCCTAAGTGTTTTTATAGGTTAGGTATTCTACCTACTTTACTAGGTAATAGTTTTCTTTTTTATCTAAGATCTTTTTAACTTTGTATTTAAGTTTTTTTTTATTTTATTTTTAAGTTGCTAATAGGATATTTTTAGGTGCTAGTTCTAGCTTAGAAATGTAGAACTATAGGAAGATTTTTATGTCTTTTAGTAATTTAAGCTTACATGCTTCTAGGTAGGTTTAAATAACTCTATAAAGCTCTATTTATTTCTTAGCTAGCTTTTATGCTAGTTAGGGGTTTTTAAGGTTTGTAGTATCTAAATATACATAATTATAGGGGTGTATTTCTAGTGCTGTTTGCTAGTGTTAATTTGCTAATGCTTTTATAGCTTTAGCTGTAAGCTAAGCTTTTTTACTTAACTTTTAATATATTTCTAATAGTTATGTTGTCTAGTTTAAGGCTTCTAGCAAATTTATTAGCTAGGTCCTAGAGAGCTTGTATTAGTAGGGGTAGCTAAAATTTTCTTTGTATAAGGTTATTTTAGTTAAGGTAGACTGTGTAGTGTTAATAGCTAACTAGGCTATTAGCAACTATTTAGGCTAGTTTGTTTGTTTATATAAGATGTATTTTTATAGATACTTTTTTATTTCTGTGTTTATTTATTCTGTTTGTCTGTCTGTTTAAGAGTAATAGGCTGTAGAGAGTTTATAGGTTATCTTAAGGTGTTAGACTATAGTTGTCTAATACTTGCTAGTAAAAAGCTTGTCCTTATCTAAGATAATAATTTATAGGCATTTATAAGTTATAAAAAGGTTTTTTTTTATTTTAAACATAAATTCTTTTGTAGTTATGCTTTTCTTTATTACTTATATAAAAACAAACTTTGTAGTTTTGTTAACTATTACTGTAATTATATTATAAAGCCTTTCTGTACTAGGTTCTTAGAAAGGTAGTAGTCCTGTTATAAAGTCTATTATTATTATAGTCTACAGCTATTTAGGTGCTATAATTAGCTAGAGTTGTCTGTATAGTTTATGTCTTTAGAGGTTATTCTTGTTGCAGAGGTTACATTCTTGTAGTACTTTAGTGCATAAGTATTTTAATTATAAGATGTTTTTAAAAATTACTTTTTTTATTTTCTTTTAAAGTAATCCTATTTTAGGGTGCCTAAACATTAGGGCCTTATAATATTCTTTAATAAGGTTTTTTTATTTATGTTCTGTAATTGTTAGGGAACAGATTAATTCCTTTAGTTCTAGTCTGTTGTATATTAGACCTTAGTTAGTTTCTTTAAAGATTGTAAACTTCTCTGTGTCTTTCTTAGATTTATTAAAGTAGTTAGAACGTCTGCTAAGGATGTCTACTTATTAATTACTACTTTTAGGGACGTGCTTAATAATAAAGTTAAACTGTGCTAACTCTATTGCCTATTATACATGCATTAGAGAAAGTTTCTTTGTTGTTAGAAAAGTTACTAAGTTAGTGTAGTTAGTATAAATAGTAAATTATTATCTAAGTTTTTATAATTTAACTTTTTAATTTCTACAGGTGTTAACTATAGCTTTAAGTTCTTTGTCTAGTATAGTATACTTTTGTTCTGCAGGGGCAAACTTTGCTAAATAGTATGCTACTAGGTGCTAATAGCTGTCCTCTTGTTTCTGTAGAAGGGCTGCTCCTTTAGCTTGTTTTAAGGCGTTAGTGTGTACCTTAGTTTTAAGAGTTAGGTTGTACATTTAAAGAACTAGGTAACTAGTAATAATTTTTTTTAATTCTTTAAAGGACTAATTTATTTTAGTTATCTACTAAAACTTATGTAATGCTTTTTTCTTTGTTATAGCATTAGTAAGTAGGAGCGCTATTTTAGAGTAGTTCTAGATTATTCTTTGTACATAACCTGTTAGTCTAAGGAATCCTCTAATTTTAGTAATAGATTTAGGTATAGGCTATTTAAGTACTTTAGCTATCTTTTTTAGGTCTATTTTTATCTAATTTTAGTTTATAATAAATCCTAGATACTTAGTTTTTTATACATTAAATTTGCATTTTTCTAGCTAGAGGTATAAGCTGTATTGCCTAAGGCGTTCTAATATAAGTTTTACTTTAGATATGTAATTATCCTAGCTTGCCTTTATGCAGGGTTGCCACTTTATAGTAATTACTATTTTTAAAATAGTAATTACTATGTTTTTAAAAACGTTATTATTACTTAATTACATAAGCTATAATTCTAAAAATTAATATATAGATGCTAAGTAAACTAGTCTATAAATCTATAAATTTAAATTCTAAAAATTATCTTTAATACATTTATAATAAATAAAAAAGAGAGAAAAAAAGGAGAGAAAAATAGTAATTACTATTACTATTACTATTTCTGCTTTTTTTCTCTTTTTTTCTTTATTACTAGGGATACAAATTTATATAGTAGAATCTAATCTTATATATCTATACTTTAGTATACCTAGTATCTAAGTTTAGGTTTTTAGAATATTAGCTAATGTAATTAAGCTGTTATAGACTTTTTAAAAAAATAGTAATTACTATTTTAGAATAGTAATTACTATAAAAGTGGCAACCCTGCCTTTATGTATACTAGTATGTTATTAAGGTATATAAGTATAAATATATTAAGGTATAGATTTAAGGCTGTGTTAATAACTTTTTAAAAGGTTGCAGGTGCATTAGTAAGTCTAAAGAGCATAATAAGTAATTTGTATAGCCCTCTAAGGGTTTAGAAAGTAGTTATCTATTTATGTCTTTATTTAATTTTTATTTTATTAAATCTATCTTAGATGTTAAACTTAGTAAAGTGCTTAGTTCTTTTTAGTTAGTTTATAATATTTTAGATTATTAGAAGGGGGTACTAATCTTTTATAGTATTATTGTTTAGAGTTTAGTAGTCTTAACATACTTTAACTTTGCTGTTCTTCTTTTTTGCAAAGACTACTGCTAATGCTACTAGGCTATTGCTTTCTTGTATATGCCCTTGCGATAGCATCCTGTCTATGTATTCTTGTAGTGTGTTCTTCTAGGCTTTAGTTAGTAGTTAGAGTTTGTAAGCCTTTAGCTGTGGTTTTAGTTTAAGATTAATAGCGTGGTTCTATAGCTAGTGCGGGGGTAGTTTTTCTAGGTCTTCTAGGGTTTTAAACATGTTCTTGTATTCCTTATATTCTTCTAGTAAGTTTCTTGTTTTGTGGGCAATTTTATAAATTTCTACTTAATTAAGGTTTTTTTCTTTTTAAAATTTTTTAAAGAATATTTTCTTTAGTTTCTTTTTTATTAAATAGACTACTTAGGCTTTTAGCTTTTAGTAGGGGAACTTTTTAGGTTTTCCTTTTTTAGGGAAATATCTGCTTCCTTTCTTTGCTTGCTAGTAGAAGGTGCATAAGTTGTTATAGTAGACTAACTATGTTATTCTAGCGTAGTCTTTTTTTGTTATAAGGGTTATAGTTTGCTAGTTAATTATTAGGTTGTGCCTATAAAGCTAATTGTACCTAAGTATTACTTAGTACTTTTTTTTTAAGGGCAAAATGTTAAAGGATATCTAGTTATTAGTTCCTTTAGTGTTTATAATAAGTTTATAAGTTTTAAGTTATATCTATTCTGCTTTATATTTAATTAATAAGGTGTCTACTAGGGTTACTTTAAAGAGTTTTTTTTTACTTTTAAAGGGTATTTGTTTCTAGTTAACTTATGTAGAGTTAATTGCTATAAAGGTGCAACTGCTGTCTATTAGTGTAAGGCCTGTCTATTTTTGTCTTAGGCGGGAGAGGTTAATTTCTGTAGTTAGGCTTCTGCCTAGTCCTTGTTCTACAGCAACAAGGGTATAGAGTTTGTAGGGAACTTCTA